TCTAAGCCCTGTGACAAAGAACTATTGGGCACAATGGGACCAGTTGAAGCTTGAAGATGGTATTCTTCTCCAGAGATGGGAAACTGCAGATGGAAAAGTGACGACTTGGTAAACAGTTATACAAAGAATGTTACGGGAAGTTCTGCTGCATCAATCCCATGATAGTTTAACAGGAGGACATCTTGGAGTTAAGAAAACATTGAGTCACCTACGACAGAGATTTTACTGGATAGGTATGAGGCAAGATGTGGAAGAATGGTGCAGAACATGCAGTACATGATGTGCTAAAAGGGGGCCCAAGCATATGGGACGTGCTCCAATGAAGTTATATCAATGGAAAGAGTAGCCGTTGACATTGCTGGTCCTCTGCCCCAAACTCGTGCTGGAAACAAGTACATTTGTGTGGTGATGGATTATTTCACCAAGTGGCCTGAGGCATATGCAATACCAAATCAGGAAGATACAACTGTAGCTTCGGCTATTAGTGATTTCTTCGTCAGATTTGGTATGCCATGAAGTGCATTCAGATCAAGGCCGTAACTTCGAATCAGCTGTGTTCCAAGAATGCTACAAGTTGTTTGGCATCCGAAAGACCAGGACAATGCCACTTCACCCACGGTCTGATGGGATGGTAGAAAAGTACAATTGGACACTGGGACAGGAATTGGCAAAGTTTTGTAATAGCTGCCAAGATGACTGGGATGTCTTACTCCCTCCACTGTTGATAGCCTATGGGACAGCAGAGCATGAAACCACTGTATACACTCCAGCAAAGTTGATGTTTGGTCGGGAACTTTGGTTGCCAGTGGATCTGTTAACAGGATCCCCACCTTATGACCATTCTGTCGATCCGAGATAATCGATCCACAACAAGATTTAGGGTACCCAGAATATGACATACAATCTTATGTGGTGATTGTGGGTCCAGTAGAGGGGGTACAACATTTGTAAACAAAGATCTTATGACTAGGTACACCCATACTTGGTGATATTGGACACTACCTTCAAATTGTCAGAATGGACCATCACCAAACATCCCTGAACATCCAACAAGAAGTGAAGCAGAACATGATAAACCACAACCAACTCCAAAATGGTGATATGTAGGGATAATTCGGCTAGTGTCCAATGACTCGAAACCCCTCGAGCGTTGAGATATGCACTCCAACCGGAAAGGGGAACCACTGTAAAAAGATAATAAAATGGTCGAGGAAATGGAACTTCAATTGTAGTATTGGTTCAATCCAACCAACAAACAAAGCCTGTAGTTGGGGAAGAAGGGTAATAGGAGCAATTAAGGGATCTCAAAATGAGGCTCCATTGGTCAAGTAACACCCACTGAAGGTGATGCAGGTGGGCACTACCAAGGGGAATGATGGCTTTAAGAAAAGTCCCCGTCACCAAAAGAGATAGGGTGTCTCATGCAGTAGGAGAGGGAAGGGTTGATGACTTCAAACAAGAAGTTCCTTATCCCATAAATGAAGGGGAGAAGGCTGGGCCTGGCTGATGAGATAATTGGAAAAACCCAGATATTGTGTGGGTGTGAGAAACAACTTCACCATGATGAGCCATTATGGCAGTCTCAAAGAAGAAACTGAGTATGAACAGCAGATTCGACCTGAGAGGATGCTAAAAGTAGCAAGTCGAATGAATGACCTGACTATACATCAGAAGGCATAAGGAGCCAAAGCCAAGCCAAACGATAGAACCAAAAATCGGTTAAACATTTCCCTGATAAACAAATGGAGGAAATGCTGGGATGCCTGGGAGATGGTAATGTGTAAATAGGCATCCAACATGTCGACCATCATCATCCACAACCCGGGAGTGAAACTCAAAGGGTTAAGTAAAACTTCAATGTGAAATTTGGGAACAACCAGGAAATGGTTCAGGGAAATAAATCTATAACCAGTCGCCAGTTTCCCGTCTTTATGGGTATAACTAACAGACAGGAGTAAAACTCAGGCTGAGAGTGTTTCTCAAGTTCTATGGCCTTTTTCCAAAGTAAGTCCCAAACTGCTTCCTGTAGCTGCTGGCCAGAAATAGGGTCCCTCAGTGGGTGGAAAGGCAACGTAATAGGGAGACAATGAGGAAGAGAATGGAAGTGACCCTCTAAAAGAAACTGTAGGACCAATGGATCTGTTGTATATCATGTCCACATATGGCAAAAATGGAAACCCCTGGCACCGACTCTGGGGCCGAGTCACTGATGCTGTAATCCCCTGAAACACCTTCGAGTAACAACTTGACTGCGAATGGATGAAGGAGAGACCAGAACCAGCAAAGAGTTGGATGGGGTGAGAGACAAACAGTAGGAGGAGGTTGCAATAAACAAGAAGCTAACGAGGATAATGAATTATACCGACGAGCAGATTCAATTCAGGCCTCTAATGAGTTGGGAAAATCCCCAAACACCACTTAATGTAAAAAATGTGCAATGCACAATTCGCGCCAGGAAGTAGCCAGTAAACATACTCGACAAAGGACGGTATCCTGACCCAGAGGATCCCTAACAGCATATCAGCCAAGTCTGAAGAGCCAGGGCCAAAGATGAAAGATGTGCTATTGTAGTAAACAGAATACCATGAACATCATCTGAAAACTCTTCATGAAACAGGTGAATTGCCTGAGCTAGCAAGGGTGCAGAGTCGAAAATGCACGCAGAATTGTGGGCAACATCAATCTGATATTGAGGAAAATGCGAGATTCCAAACGTTGGGAATCAAGATAAGGGAAGGAATATCTATGAAATGCATAAGCAAGATTTTCAGATGTACGAGGCATGTTAACCTCCGACCAAAAATGACCTCCCCAAAAAAAAACACTAGGCATGAACCCCAACATCAGGTGAGGGAAGTAACACTAAATACTGGCCCATAGATTTATCACCAAGGCAAGCAGGTTGAGAATCATAGGAAATAGGAGATAGGGGTAAGACAGCATAAACCTGATTAATTCCACAAAGGGTGAAGGAGGACTGGGTAAATCCCTTGATACCATTCGTGACTGGGAAGCACATTCATTATTAGCTATCCTTATTCTCGTCCTCTCCGTCAGTCACCCCAGGAGCAGGCATAGCAGGATATTCCTCGTCTTGTAGTGAAGGTTGCATGAAGATGGACATTTCTCGTCGAATAATTGCCGTCACATCCTTGGCCAATAATTGGAGTATTCAACCCAGCAGTATTAATTGGGAAACCCGCAGCAGCTGTAACAGCTATGGTAGGTGTAACTATCTGAAACTGCAAGAGCATATTGACAAGTCTAAACTAAAAGAAAAAATGAAAAAAAGTAAGAAAAGTTGGAATAAAGCAACCTTCCACAATTCAAAAAACGTGAAAAAGTAAAGAAATATTAAAGGAAAACGTCGATAAATTTGCGAGTAAAAACAAGCACGCCTGTACAGTATTACTGGCAACCCAGAAGCGATTAACGAGTGCAAATCTGGAGAGGGCGCTGGTTACGATAGTGGTAGTGTCCGCATAATTATTTAAATATGGATATGCAGAAGCTGGAGGTGGAAGACTAGTGGCTAGCGTTGAAAATTTGCGTCGACAGAGGGCAGTACTGATCAAGAGAAGTTATTTTGTGAGAGCAAGTGAGATATGGTATCGGTAGAACTACAAACAATTTAATGGTAGTTCTACTAAGAGCTGAAAATCAATACTTTTGCAAACAACTTTGTTTGAATAATAATGAAGCTTTATTTATTTATTACAATCCATGACACTTTAAAACTTAGTGTTATTTTTGAAGAGTAATAACATATTAACAGCAGGAAGGCATTAAAATATTTTTCATGTAAGCCACAGTTATATGTTCCAGCTAAGTTGAAACAATAAAAAAAAAAAACATTTTTCATAAAAACAAATATATATTATGCTGAAACAGAACAATTTTAAAACAATATGAAATAAACAAAATGAATAGCAAAAAATGTATTAGCAACTTTTCAAAACTAGAAATCAACACAAATTTAATAGTTACCTTTCATCAAATAACTCAGAACATAAAAACCTTAACGAATGCTTGAACTATATTGACTTCCAGAATATCTCACTCTACACAACACTGGAGGTAATGGTTGTTACGCACTCTTCAAAATTGCATAACCCCACAGTAATGAACTATGTTAGTGATATGTCAATCTTAACAACTAACTTTCCAAGAAAGCCATTGTGTTTATATTGATGTTACTGTACATAAAAACTAACAAGTAAGAAAGATTATCATGATTATTCTATCTTAATTTTATTTACAGTTATAGGATAACATACCATTTTTAAGCTAACATTTATAAGTAAAAAGAATATTATGGAAAAAAACAAAATTGGATAACTCTAAAGTAACTTATCTTTAAAAAAAATTACAATATTTTTTAATGTAAGTGTTCAATACTTATTATGTTTAACTATAAAATATAAACTTAGCTAGCAACAGTTATATAAGTAATTTTAGTTTTTTTTTACACATGCAACATACAAGTAGAATCACAATAAGGCACACAAACTCGTTTAAAATCAAACTGCTATTCATAAGGACACCATACCATTTTATAAAAGCACTTCTTACACTGAACAAGTGGGTTGTACCCAAACTTTACATCACATACCACATATCTCACTAATTATTACACAAATATAAGAGACTAACCCTTTCTGAATATTTATTCATAATATCTGTGTATGTTATTTTATTACAAAGTGTATAGTTTTACATAATCTATTAAGGTCTGTTAGTTTACAACGTCCTTGTTGAAAAGTATCGAGTTTTTGGGTTAAATCCCGAGTACATTAAGTCTCTTACAATGAAATATCTATGTCTTGCTTAGCTCCATAGGTAAACTTTTTTCAAATATTAAAAAACATTTACTTTCTTGACGTTTTACAATTATTGACCATTCACTACCAAATTTTTAAATTACCCTCTGTTTGATTAAAGGGAGAATGATTAATGGAATATTTCAACTTTCCCACAAATGTCTGTTGTGTGATTTTGCCTTATAAAGTATAATGGTTGTGAAATTAAGTTCTTTTCTGTACCTTACAAATTTCTAGTAATACAATTTTAATACTAATATAAGTACAGTGCATTTATTTAATATGCAAACACATAAAGCATACAGTGTCAGCACTTATCTTGAACAATTGAATATCACCATGAGTACACATAGCTATTAAATAATGTCCAAAGTTGTACACGAAATTAACCAAAACTTAAGTTTGTGAATCAATGCTCACTGAGTGATATTTGTGATTAGAGCATTACAGCTGACTAATTCAAGGATATGGTTAAACCATGCTCAAATTACACTGCAGCTGTCAGAGAATTACCCAAGTTAAACCAAGCTCAATGTATACTGCAGCTGTCAGAGAAGTACCCAAGTTAAACTAAGCTCAAAGTACACTGCAGCTGTCAGAGAACTACCCAAGTTAAACCAAACTCAAAGTACACTGCAGCTGTTGGAGAACTATCCAAATTAATCCAAGCTCAAATTACACTGCAGCTGTCAGAGAATTACCCAAATTAATCCAAGCTCAAATTACACTGCAGCTGTCAGAGAATTACCCAAGCTCAAAGTTGAAGAATCAGTGCTCACCGAGTGATACTTGTAATTAGGACATTACAGCTACCTCAAGGATGTGATTAATACAAACCCATCCCTGTAAGGAGGAAAATTTTAATCTACAAGCAAGACGACAAATTTATAAAATCACTTAACCACACTTGCAGATGATTTTAGAACTTCTATGAAGATTAGATTCTGTAAATGTTGAAATTGGAGTTAAAATTTACACAAACCCACATTCATTGTACCTAAATGAAAATTCTAAGTAAAATCATTTCAATTTAGAATTAATAAGTAATTGATAGACAATTATTTATTTTCAAGCAAACCATTAAGGCAACCATAACAGTTACCATTACTAGTGCTGTGTGGGTCGGCTCTAAGTGTTTAAATTAGTATACTAGCATGAAAAGAAAACTAGTGTTTCTGGCTGGTCTACTTACAATTACATATTATTTACCAAGGTGATATAATAACTAGAAGAAATTTGTCAGTTCATGTTCTACGATGAGAAAGTAAAATCATACAAAACATTCAACAATAAAAATTGGTTTAGTTTTGTGAATAATTCAATGCATTTTCTAAATTATCTTTCAAAATAAGTAATGGGGAAAACAGTAGCTTTACATGCACTTAGTTAAACTGTGTGTGTGTGTGTGTGTGTGTGTAGTGAACTTGAAATAAATAAATTTACTAACAATAAGACTCAAATTATTCATAATTATTCTTGTAACCAAAAGACAAGTTACTGTTTAATACTCAGGCAAATTAATTCTTTTTAAATATAAATATCAAAACAATGTGTTTTAGTGAGAAACAGTAACAGTAGAGCAAGCACTTTTAATACAAATATATCATAATAATCCAGTCACTAAAATTTATGAGCAATTTTTTTAAATTATACTGATTTACTGCATAACTAAATGTCTCAGTGTTAAAACATAAATCAAACTTCATCCCTTTTCACATGAATAATATGTTATATTTAATGTTTACATTGCCTTGAAAATATATTAAACACAATATATTTTTAAAAACAAAAAGTAAAAAAACTCACATAAGCTGACTTTTTAGTCTAATACCTTAAAACACAACCATTTAAAACAAAATAGTTTTAAAAAATGCAAGTTCGGAATCTTTGGCTGAAGGATTTAATGGTTCTTAAAATGCATCTTGTTTGTTTGTGCTAAATGTTGTCCTTGCTCATTGTAAACTTGCCATTTTGAATTTTATTTTGTAAAATTTGTAAGTAGTTGTTATACAGAGTATACTTGGATTTTGTTTGCAAGAACAAATAAACTTAGTGAGTTATCAGAATTAAAGAGTATATTAGGCCACATTCCAATATTTCACTGGTTGAACATCATGTAAAAAAATAGAAAATATGCTCTTTTAAAATAGTGAATATTTTTGACTGATTAATTCAAGTAGCACCTAAAGATTAGTTTTGTACATTCCATTTAGCTTGGCCATAAACCAATTTACCATAATCTTTTCCTAGATTTAGAATCAATATTTAATCATACTGAACATATCTATATATAAATATCATTTAATGCTTTTTGGCTAAACTTTTATCTTCTTTGCCAAAGAAGGATTCAAATGTTTAAGTTATTCATCCTTCTTTAAGAATTTTTCAAATTTACCAAATAAATAAAAAATTGTACAAACAATAAAGAATTTTAATAATATCATTTTAGTTTTTAATAATTCAAAAATAAATATTGGTCTAAGTCTGATTTTACTGTTGGGTAAAATAAGATATCTAAAGTTATGATTTTTATCATATGATAAGCTTAAATGGCTTTTTTTGAGACAATAATAGAAATGACTGATTTTTTATTTCCAAAACAGCAGCATACAATTCCTTAAAAACATCATTAGACCACTAACAAGTAATTTTAGTACTTTTAGCTAATCCTCTGAAGTTACTCATCGTAATTATGGAATCCTCAGATTTTGAAATACTTACCTGTTATAACGTGTATTAAATTTTAACTCAATGTTAAATAATGACATTTTATACAATACACACGACAAATATTTATATATACAAATATATATTTCTTAGAAGTCTTATTACATAACATTATATATAATATGATTATTCAACTCTGCTACTACTTCAGAAAATTTCCATTAATGTACTCTATCTACATCTGTTAATCTGGTGTCACATTGCACTGCTTTAGGATTATGGAAATCTTGTTAGTTAACTATCATGCCACCATTTTGTATGTAGAAATGACTAAGTGTCCATAAAATAAAATAATTTTTAGTGTTTTACATGCACAAAAAACTTGCACATCCAATCACATTTAATTGAACACCTTATCTTGACGATGTAATATTTTTCTACTAAAGGAGTCTCATACTGCAATACTCGCTAAATTATGTTGGCAATAATGCTAGTATTATGCCAATGAAACTATGGAGAAGTTTGACAGGTACTTTTATTATAATTATTTTTAATTAATAATCATAATAATTAGCTCTTCAATATTTAATACAAATTTGGGTGTGCATCAGTCACAAGGTATTTCAGAGAAATATTTTAATTTGTTATGCTACAACATACTGACAAAAAAAATGACAGCTAGGAAAAGGTAAAACTTGTAAGTAAACTGTAAATACCACCATAAAAAGGCACAGTTTCCTTACCATTAACCATCTATATATAAAATACTTTACTCAGAATTTATCATTTAAAAAAAAAATCAACACTTCTGTAAAACAAATATTCATGCATATTCTTCTACAACATCACTTACTTCTTATAAGAAGAATATGCAATGACTAACATTACTTCATTTCACATTTTACAGGAATAATCTTATCATCCTTTCTTCTATCAAATTAAAGTTTCTTGCTGCATGGTAATACTTAAAACATGCAAAAGCTGCTTCTTACAGGTTACTACTTCATAAACATAAACAGATATTTACTTTTTATGACACCTAACAATCAATTTGTTTCAAAGATATTTTATGTTTTCTCTTACATGTTCAAGATGATATGCTTTGTGTAACAACAGAAGTTTTAATATTTTTTCAACTTTATTTTAACCGTGAATTAAAAACATTGGTAAAAAAAAAAGCAATAATTTCTTTGCAAGATACTGAAAGATAACCAAAAAACAAGGCGAAAATATCAGAGTAAGTATCATATAGCTTAATAATTAAATGTTAAGTGTTGAGAAACATAATACACTCTGAAGTAACATTACTCATGTAAAGTCATATTCAATTAGCAAATAGCCTTCCAGGTCCTGTCATTTCAATGTATTTGGCTTCTCGCATGCTGTGCTGTCCTAAAATAAAAACAAACAGAATATAGTTCGTAAACTTCTCAAGCAATAAAGAAAACTTAAGTAAACATTCATCAAAAATTACACAGTTATAAAGCATGAAAAAATGCCACTAGAAATAACCCAAGCTTTTTGTTACTCTGCCACCACCAATGGTTGAAAAGTAAAGCAAGTCAATTCTTATGTTTATTTTCATGGAAAAGTATGTCCAAGTTTAAGATTTTCTCATATATTATGATTATTATTTTTTAAGTATTTGTTGAATGCTCATTAAATATTGTGACTTCTAATAGAGTTGTATATCAATCAAAAGTAATAAATTTATGAATATATAAGTCTAGTAGTAGGTTATCAGAACTAAAGCTGTCTAAGGTACTTGTTTTTAATGTGCATCAAAGGCTGTTTTAAAATGAAACAAGTCAAGAGATTATTTATTGTTTTTTCTCTAATACTTTAATTTATGCATTTGGTTATTTGAAAACCGGGTTGCCACTTAGTTATTTTGTTTAACAAAAACATTAACAAGTAAGATTCGTTTAAATTTGCATTGCTTACTACACAACTATAATAAGTGAATAGCAGTAAACAATTAATGTGACTTGTATGTTGATATCAGCTGTGATCTGTTGACAAAAATTTAGACTATTCATGACCTACTACAATTTAGTCTTAAATCAAAAAATAAGTATGAAATTATTATTTTTCTCAAAGTAATAAACAAAATTAAATACAGCCAAACATTTAATAAATGTTTATGCAGTACAGCTGAAAATACAAAAAACTAGTATTCTGGTGAAGGATTTTCTTGAGACCAAGTTGTAAATGTGAAATTCAAACCTTAAATGGTTTCACTGATAAAAAATAACTGACAAAACAAATTTAAACAATCAAGTATGCATACTGTTTTTTGTTTTGCTTTTAAGTGGAGTTAAAGAGTTTCATAACAAATACAAATTATGTGAATGCAAAACTCTTTCAACAACATGTTATACTAAGAAATGAGCTACAAAAAACATTTTAGCTGTACAGTTACATTAAAGCATAATAATTAACCTGAAGGAGCAAGACATCTTGGGGAATTAATCTTTTATAGAAATGTTAAATTTTAGTTGTTGATGCAATGCCAAACACAAAGTAATTTTTCCAGAAAATTGGCTTCAGTTGATTTTCCTGCTATTAAAAAATATATTATTCTAAAACACTTTTGAAGCTTCATCAGATTGTTAATAGTACTTGTCTGGTCATGCTCTATCTGACAGCCATGCATCTTGACAATGCCATGTAGGATAGTTTCAATTACAAAAGACTGTCATGTCAAAAGCATACCAGTGCTCCCTATATGCTTTCCACAAACCATCTTGTGTACAAGGACATGGATTCTCAGTGCTTGTCACAAACATCCATTCACAAAGAAATTCATAAGTGCTGCATCTGACAATTTGACCAGTATGTCTTCATACAGAACAGCATGTGCAAACAAATTTAATTCTTCAGCTACTAAACATTAGCAATAATTGAATGAATATGTCATGAAAACAACTTGGTACACATAATTTGTGTAGCTTTTTCACAAAGAAAGTGTTCTCAATTATATTATGTACTGTTGCCAATGGCCTGTGTTTGTGGATTCTCATCTGTTAAAAGGTGCCCACTTTGCTTTCCATGGCTGGGGGTATGAATTATTCTAGGTCTCTTTCTGGTACTCCAAGTTCATCCATATTCCTATCTTTTTCAATGCCATTAGGTATGAGGGATATCCTTGTTTGGTAAATTCCAAATCCCTAATCTGAACACATCTTTATGATCTCGGAGTACGAATATTTGATATCAGAAAGGGCTGTTGCATATGATTCCCAAAATAGACCAATTTTCAGTGGCACCCCACTACCTATAACATGCAGTTCTTATACATTCTGTTATACTGCAACTTTATATCGGATGTGATTGTCGAGTGAAATACTAATTTGCATATTCAAAATAACTAATATAATGTGCTAAACTTCCTGTATTAGTTTTTGCCACTATAACTAATTCCTTTGATGATCTTAAGGCCCTAAGTAAAACTGTGAATAATGAGAAATTCTTTAAAAATGGTTTCTTCCTCCAAGCATATTAAATTAATGTTTATTACTTAATGCAGTTATCTAAATAGTTTTTACAAAGCTAACTTGGTTTCAACAATGAATATTTATGTACCATTATCAAGTGACCTTTTTGCAGATAGGTGACCTTCAACAATTTTTTGCATATGTCTGCTGTGTTGAGAATTTTTATTTATAAGTTTAATTAATATTAGCTTCTGATCAAAGCAAGTTACCTACATAGATCAGAACTTAAAATCAACCCAGTAATAAACATACTGTCCTTATGTTCTTATTTATAATCATTAGAATGCACTGCTTTTTCAGCTTAACTCCAATAATACTTCACAAGGTTTAGCCAGCTTAGGAAATTTAAGTTAGTACTAAATTAACAGAGCAAGCTAACAATTCAAAATAATCTTTATAATAAAAATATATAGTAGTAAAAATACTAAAAATAGATATTAAACATTATATCCTGTTAATGTAAGTAACACTCCAAAGAGCATTAACCAGTGTCGTAGTCAAAACCTCAGTATCCGAGACCAAGACCTGTGGTTATGAAACTAAGACTGAGACCTTGTAAGAAATTATACAATGAAAAATAAAGCAAGAAGAATAAAAATCACATGCATCAAACAAACTTTATTAAAATCTTAAACAAAGACTGTACGCATTAATCCTACAGTCTTTGTTTTAATGTCTTGTTCTATGAAAAACATAAAATAAAATAATGAACGAATAAAAAAGAATGAAGACGGTCAGTAAATAAAACAAAAGAAAAAGAGATGTTGTTTTTCAAAAGTATATGGTGTCAGTGAATTCTTTATGATCTTTGAAACCTAACAGGATTGCAGCAGATCTACTAGACAGGTTGAATATTAGGGATAATTGATAACATTTAACATAAATACATACAACAGATGAAATTCATACAAACATGTAGTATAAGCCTATGCTAATGCAGTGTATAGTAGCAATTATTTTTGAATAGTGCATGTTATAACTGTGGATTGACATACAGGTAATATGGCAGTTGGTGATGTAAGTAAAAATAAAAAGGTGCTATAAACATCATTACAGAGGTGTAGTACCAACTACCAACATTTAACACAAATACATACACCAGGTGAAGTTCATACAAACATGTAGTATAAGCCTATGCTAATGCAGTGTATAGTAGCAATTATTTTTGAATAGTGCATGTTATAACTGTGGATTGACATACCGGTAATATGGCAGTTGGTGATGTAAGTAAAAATAAAAAGGTGCTATAAACATCATTACAGAGGTGTAGTACCAACTACCAAGGGGTTTTACTAGTAAAACATCTTTGATGCTGCACCTTGCCATGTATGAACTGCTGCGCAATCGATATTTAGCGCTTAATATTCCTGGGTAGGTTAATAAACTTTTTCCATTGGGATTCGGTCCACGTTTTGGACCAGAGAGGGTCAGGTTCAGCATTGACCTCTTCCTCCCTTTCAGGAATTATTTTGTTTGCACTGTTATGAATCCTAGGTAATAACAATAATTTAAATTTTGTCCATTATCTGCAGTTTCAATTAACATGCCCGTTAGGTGACCTGTCCAATTCATGGGGTAATGTTAGCTCGTATATTTTCACTAGTTTCACTTATGCATAATTCCACTATTAGTCCATGTTCACATTACAGCAGTCATATATATATACATATATACACACACACACACACACACACACACACACACACATAATCCTATTTTACACACAAAACCATTTTAAAATAAGAGCTACATTTGTGTCTAGGATTCAGTTAGCCTAGCACTGCTTAGCCTGTTTCTTATTTATGATGTTTAGAGGGGAGAGGTACTTAGGGCTTGGTTCATCATGTATTATATAACTCTCTAGTTTGCTCATAAGTTCAATTTTCTTATATTGAAGTGAGTTATCCAGGATAGTGTTGGTATGTTTGAACAGTTGTGTAGAAATACTGAGTTTGTTGATCATAGGACTGTAAATGCTTTCGTTAGAATATAGTTTTGTATTTGCTGTAGTTTGTTGATTTGTGTTTTTGATACATTTACTCATGTTATACAGACATATTCTATGACTGGTCTTATGTATTTTCTGTAAATTTTTAATATATTTGCTGATGAAGCTTCTTGGTTGTTGCCAGTCAGACTCCTAAGGTAACTCATTTTCCAAATTCTGGTTTTTATGCTATTAGTGTGTGGTATTCAGTTTAATTCTGAGTCAAATGTCATCCCTTAGAATTTTGCTGATGTTGCTACCCATAAGAGGGTCCTGTCTAGATATAACTGTGGTATTAATTTGCTTGTTGTATACAATTTTTTAAATAATAGGACTTGTGTTTTCTGCACATTAATTTTAATTCTCCATTTATTGTATTACAATTCTATTTTGTTTAGTCGTGGTTGTATATTATATGTTGCTGGGTTTGGGACACTCTTCTAGATTGCAACATCATCTGCAAACTGTAAACAAAAAGTGTTATTTTGGACTTTGAGAGGCATGTCACTAACATACATGATAAACAGGATAGGGCTAAGTACTCCTCCTTGAGGGACACTTGTCTCCAGAGTGCAGCACTCAGAATAGGTGCCCTCAAAATTTACTCTGATGCTCCTATCTTCCAGGAAGTTAGAAACCCAGCAAATAATTCTTATGGGGAGTCCCAGTTTGGATAGTTTGTATCAGAGTCCATTGTGCCATACTTTATCAAATGCTTTTTCAACATCTAGGAAGCATGGGACTGTGCATTGTTTTTTTTTATTAAAGCTGTGTATTATTTCTTCCATTAATTTTACGAGATCATCTGTTGTTTGTCTTGCTTTTCAGAAGCTATTTTGTATTTCTGGGAGTATTGATTTAGTTTCAAGGTAATTTACGAGTCTATTATTTATAATTTTTTCAAGTAAATTTCGTAGTCTGTTTGTTAAGACTTATTAATCTATAGTTTTTGGGGTTATTTGCTGATTTTCCTTCCTTTTGGAACATAAGAACATAGGCCTGTTTCCAAGTGGTTGGTATGTATCCTTTTCTTAGAGATAAGTTGTATAAAGATGCGAGATGTTCTAATTATATCAGAGGGCCTATCTTGAGTAGCAAGTTTTGAATTTTGTCTTGTCCTGGTGGTTTGTTTTTCAAAAGATTTATGTTTTCTTGTTCTTCTGCTACTGAGATGGGTCTGATAAGTTGTTTTATTGTATAGCCATATTCTGCATATGTTGTTGTGCTATTGCATTTTGTGTCCTTGGTTGTGATATAATTACTTAATAATGTTCATGAAGTGGTTGTTCATGTTTGAGTCATTTGATATTTTAAATGTGTTTTGGAGTTGTTCTCCAAAGGTGTGTGCTTTCTGTTTATTTGTGTATATACTTTATTTATTATGTTTAACTGTAGGATAGGTGGTGATAGTAGTTTTGTTTGACTTTGTAGTTTTTTGTTTTATATGGGACCATAAGTCTTTGGGATCTGTTTTGAGTTTATTTTTGTACAGAAGGCATCCCATTTTAGTGATTTTAAAAGCTTAATAAATAATTTTTATACATTTCTAATTTCGTTTCTGAGCACGTTTATTTGCATTTTTTTTTTGTGGGTCACCAGTTGTCATATACATCAAGTATTGCTTATTTAGTTAAAGGAACTAAATAACATTAATTATCGAGATTATCAATTCGGATCTTTCTTTAGGCCTTACAAACTCTCCTAATGAAAGCCAATATTCTCTCTGTATTAATTATGTTTTTGTGGCTTTATAATCCCATTCAAAGAGCAGATCTGGCTATCCTAATAGTATTAGTGCTTTTATAAGTCATTCCCTCTAATTTTGATAAGAATAAGAAAGAGAAGTTTTATTTGGAATGGGTATAGCATACTCTTATGATAAAATTCCAAATCTTCAGAGATTAAATTGTGTTGGTGTGATATATGAAAAAGTACTTTCCAGTTTAAAGTTCACATGGTTTTTACATCAAATATGTTCAAAACAAAACTATAATGTTAGAAATTTGAAAGAAACATTTAGCCTGGAAATTTGTTGTAACACTGAATGAGACAGGTGATTCTCTTTGTATTAAAACAAAACAGAGATATCAGCTGCTGTCCTTATACAAAAATAAATAAATTGATCTTGTAATAAACAAATATTTTCCCATAAACTAGGAGCAGTAGTTCTCAAACTTGATCATACTTAGCCTTTCTAAGCTAAGAGAAAAACATGTGCCTCCTTATAGTTTACAAGTTGAGAGCCTGAGATGGAAAAAAAACCATGCAGCTTAAGTTTGGTGTGTCACAGTTGCTAAGGGTTGCAACCTGGCAAGATAGTTAAAAGCTATTTGTAATAATTTTCTCTTTAGGTTATCTTTAACAACTTTTTTAAAAGCAGTCATCTACCCCCTTTTTTTTTCAAATGCCATGTGCATTGTGTATTTCTCTGGAGGTGCACCCCATAATTTCAGAACCACTGATTTGGAGAAATGAGAGATTTCTTTTATGATGAATAGACATCAATGATAAATTAACAACAGCAAAGTTTTTAGAGAACTTCTGAACTTTATAACAGGAAACTAAGACAAATCCCCCCAAACCCAACATGACCAGATACTCTTCTAAAATAATATACCTTTCATCTAAAATTTACTTTCTACAATAAATTCCACATTAACACATATTAATGCATTGCTTTTAAAGAAAAAAGAACTGTTTATACACTAGAAAACTTTGAAAAGTTTACATATCTGGTATGTTCAAATATGGCATTATATGTAGATATAAAAACTTTATTTAATAAAAAGTGCAGTGCTGAACATTAGTGAGATACAGATGATGACTATTTTTTAACATGTATGTGATTCACACAAAAAAAAATTGTAAAGTGAAGTTTTCAATCATATTCATTACCAATAATTTTATGAATACCTTAAGTAACCTGAAAAAATAATATTAATTAATAACACGTAATACTTTTATACCAATTGTATACCAATTTAAGCTTTAACTCTCTCTCCATACAGGTTCAGTAAATTCGACCAACCTTGTGACCTCTTTGTACTCGTTTAACTCTCTCAACAGGGGGCACAGTCAATTTGACCAACCACATGACCTCTTTGTACTCGTTCAAAGTCTTTATAGATTTGATACAACTAACTTTTAATATATTGTGTATATCTTCACGAAATTTGGCAGTTTTTCAGTAAATATTACAAGCTTTTCGCATATAAAAAAATCATATTTTTAATGAAGTATTTTTATTAAATGAAAAAAAGATTTCTCCCATGAATTTATCGAGTGTTTGTTCTGAATAGTCCGTGTGCAAAGTGATTTTCATGCTTGGATTAAAAATACTTTTCTTCGTCTCAAAAATCTCAAATTTCATTTGTGTAATCTCTAAAACCTCCCAAATACATTTCAAATGTTTGTTTCAGTAAAATTTTATATTTTATCTGTTTTTTTTCTCTACTGTGACTCTATACAAGGGTGGTCAATTTGATCAACCTCGTAACCACCACAAAAAAAAAATCTAAATTAGCATCTGTCTCTTTCTAGAATGACTTCAAATTGTAACATGAAACTACATTCATATATCCTAAGTAGCTTTAAACTCTTAACAGTGTACAACTATTTATTATTAATTTTATTGTTTTATTGCCCTTTGAATGATGACTAACTACTATTCGCACCATTATAAGTTGTAAATCACTTGGGGAATGTGCAGCTCGCATTACACTATCGAATTACGTTACCCACAAGCTGCTTGCGTGTGTGCCTCGTTAAACATTTTTATTATATTATTTTTTTACCTTAACTAACCTAAAGAGATCACTATTTTTACATTTTTGTTACTTTTATAATAAAGAATAAACATGAAAAACTAGATATAAAGTACTTAAATGTCGTCTTTTTTGCTGTCGACTGTCGATGACACTTAACCTTACTTCTTTTATACTAATGGTAATAATGCACAAAATAATATTTATTTAATTAAATAATGCACCAAAGAACATGGAATAACAACATGCAAAAAGCATACAATTTCCTCTAACTATCACAATTTTTCTGGCTTTCTAACTATGCAACCAGAGCAGTTACAAATTCATCCAAGCTAATTATTATCTTTCCCATGGAAATAAAGCTTGTACTATGAGAGAAATTGACAATTCTCTATTCAGAACACAACGTAATATAATGTCATTTGATAGATGAAAACCTTGGCTTTCAATTGGTTATAGATGATATAGAATTAAATGTAAGAGAGAACTATTAACAAATCCTGAAAGAGAGGATGTGACAGGTGGGTGTGGCAAGAGGGGTCTGGTTTTCTATTTGATGGCTCTGTAACCAAACAAAATTGAAAGTTATGAAAATTATGGCTTGTCTGAGCAATGACGATTTTATAGAGAGTAATTTAAATTAAATTTTGTACTTATTGTCACCTTTCTCACACTAGGGGGAAATTCAGGATTCTTTAAAAATATTGTCTTATAAAATAAAGTACTTAAAACTTATATACTATTAAAATATGGATTATTATCTACAATTTTATGCTATACTAATTAGTATAACATAAACAAAAAGTAGTTTAATAAAATTTGAATGTAAGCCACTAAAACCTCGTGACATGCACAGTAAATAATGCTCGGGCAGATAGAGTTAAGTCAGTTAGCTTACTTACTGCAAGTCTTCAGTTTTATTAAATTTTAGACAATACACAAATATAAATCAACAGCTTACTATAGTTTAAACTTATAACTACATAGTTTTACCCATATTTTGAGCAAAACAAACATCATTCACCCCAAAAACTTTAATGCTAAACCCAAGCTCACACAAAAATAAACTAGCAAATGTTGCTAGTAACCATTTTCAATTTATGTCAAAACTAAAATATCATGTTAAAACAAAAGTTAACTTACAGAACTCCAACTTACTTTTTTTCCTGAAATCTCAACAGGGCCTGATTTCTTTCTTCTAAGTCAAAGTACCAAACAGTTATGGCAAACCTATGAAGGAAAATGATATAAAGTTATACAAATGGAACAAGAGATAAAAGTCAATATTTTCCTAAACTGAAAATTTATTTCCAATAGATACTACCTCCAATCACAAAAAGCTTTCTCTACTAGTATTGCCTTCTACTGGAACAAAATTTTCACTTGCCATTAACCTTGTAACTCCCCACTTCGTTCTGCATATCTACACGCAGCAACCTTCCACAAATAGAAGTGCAACACTAATCTATCATAATTAGCACTCTCTCTAATAATGCACTTGTTAATCACCGCGAGATTGATCATGACCAAGTCAACCAATACATCAGAAGTGGGGAGGACAGGTGGGAAATGTAAGAGGAGGTAAGTATCTATTGGAAATACATTTTCAGTTTAGGAAAATGTTAACTTCCAATACAATATCTTACCTCTCAGAAAGCCAGACTCCCACAGTTTACTGGTGGAGGACCAGTGAGAATATGATCTTCCTTTAAAAAGCATGCAAAGAAAGGTTGGTTGGCATTTTTTGGCACAAAGTAACTAAGCTATCTGTGCCAAACAACTGGTAAAAATCTCTAAATTAAAATACCAGAAAATGTAAGAATAGATTAAGTTAGAACTAAACAATGCCCAAAAAAGCAGGTAAAAACTTAAAATAGAATTAACAAGGCCTATGGCCCAAAAAAGCTGAAAACACAGTCCAGCTGGACAGTGTTCCCGTTCCAAATGACACTGTCCAAAGTCAGGGGTAAATCCTGAGAAAAAACATGCTGAAAATGGTGCCACCAGTTATTGCAATTAAAATGACGGCATGAACGCAACATATGGGCTATTGTGACTTGAGTGTCACAGAGGCCACACACTGACAGATAAGTCCCATATAAAAGAAAACAATGGGTTAAAAAACTGTAACCAATGCCTAGCCTAGCCAATAAAACGTCCTCCCATCGATCCTTCTAGATGGCCAAACAACAACAACAGTAGGTTTTAACCGGAAAAGCTTGTTATGAAGTTGCTCACCCCAAGTCGACTGCCAACTAGCATGATGCCGAGCCTTGATCACAGGACCATAGCTCATATATGGGACAGGCACAGCTGTGAAAGCACTACATCAGATGGATTTAGCTGTGTTGTCAGCAAGCTCATTCCCACAAATACCAAGATAGCTAGGTACCCAGAAAAGCTGGACTGAAATAGAAGACAGTGAAAAGTGGGCCAGTTATTTCTGAATATCAAAGATAACAGAGTGAGAGCTTATATTAAGTGATTCCAGGGCCAGTAGAGAGATGGTGTAAATAGTAAAGTTAGTGTACTACTTAGTTTCCATGTGATCCAGATCAATAGAAATGACATACAACTCAGCAATGAAGACAGTAATTGAAGAGGGGATTCTGCGAGCAACCACCGAGCCACAACAAACCATGGCAGAGCCCACAGAGTCACCTGATTTCAAACCATCCGTAAAAATGGGAACAGAAGAATGGCTCAAAAGATGTTCAGCAAAGAGAAGACGGTACTTCCAATCAGGATTATCCACCTTCCTCAGATGATTCAAAGAAACTTTACAGGTGGGGATGGTAATGAGACATGGTAGGATGGGCTGATCATTGGACTCAGCAACATCATTGAATGACAGACCCAATTCTGCCAAGTGAGCCTAGATATGAAGGCCAAAACAATGAATGGCAGACTGTATTAAAAAAGAATCAGCCCAGCAAACACAATCCCAGGTGGGATGCTGTGGTAAGTATCATAGCTTAGTAGCATATTTCAAAGAAAGTTGCAAATGGCAAAGGTAAAGAGGAGGTTTTTGGGACTCTGTGTAAAGACCATGGACTGGCAAATTGTGGAAAGCCCTTGAGCAGAGACAAAACCCCAGATGGAGAATGGGGTCCAAGATCTTCATAGCAGAGACCCTATCAGAATCATAGACCCTCAGTCCAGTTTAGATCAAATGAGGGCATGCTAGATCTTCAGTCAAAGATAAACCCCAAGAACTTCACCTCAGGAACCACAGGAAGAACACCACCATGGAGCTCAGGATCAGGGTGTAAACCCCTTTGATGGCAAAAATGAATGCAAATGGTTTTAGAGAAAGGTAAAACCATTTGCTGTGGTCTGCTTCAACAAGCGAGTGAGAGCAGTCTGAAGCTACCACTCAACAAACCTCATGTTTGGCAACTGACAAGAAATGTGGAAGTCATTGACATAGAGGTTGCAACAGTAGGAAGAGGTTGTTTAAGTGATAGCATTAATCTTGATGCTGAAAACAAAAAAAGTTCTGAATAAAAATGGGTAAATGGCCATGCATCCCATATGACAACAGAAACAAGATGCTCTCTCTTGAGGAAGGCTTCCTTGACTGAGGTTACAAGACAAATCAGCTGGTCCACAGTGGAGTGATGTTTATGAAAACCACATTGAGTAGGTGAGAGGAGGTTATTTGATTCAAGGAACCAAATAAGATAGGCATTAACCATCTTCTCCAAGACCTTACAAAGCTATTCAAAGCTTTTGGATGATAATTAGAAGGAACTGTGAGATCCTTCTCAGGCTTTGAAGAAGGCAGAACAAAAGCTTTGTGCCAGATATCAGGAAAACATTTTCCTGCCAAATCTGGTTTAAAACAACCAGAATAAGAGCAAAAGAGGGAGAAGAGAGATGGCTCAACATCTCCTAGTGAATGTCATCAGGTCCAACTGATGTGCTGCCAGACCGATGAAGAGCAAGCTTAAGTTCCACTAGTGTAAATTGGCAATTATAATCATAGAGACAATCTGTTTGAAAGGGGTGATTGCCAAGAAGGTGGGAGAAGAGACAGAAGTGCTGGAAAGATAAGCAAAGCTCTCCCGAGAGTGTTGGTGATACTTTGTACATCACAAACTTCCTGGCTACTGGAGAGCAAGATGGAAAAGGGATGGGAAGAAAACTTCCCATTAACCTTCTGAATCTTGTCCCAGACAACTTTAGAACTGGTCATAGAAGAAATGGTCATTGTGAACTTAATCCAAGATTCCTTCTGGCTTTGACATCTGACCTGCTGAGCATGGGCCCACTGGAAAGCAATGAAGTTGGGAAGAGTGGGATACCCGCAAAAGGCATCCCAGGCCCTTTTCTGTGCCTGCTGGCAGGCAGGAGACCACCATGGCAAGCATGTTGAGGTTTGGGGGATAGAACAAACACCTCTTTGAATTATACAATCAGTTACTGCTTCCATGCAGTCATTAAGAGATGGAAGACTAGTGACAACAGGATCAAGTTCTGAGATAGAGGTGAAAGAGAGCCAGTCAGCCTGCTCCAACTTCCACCATGTCACTCAGGTTGGGTAGCATCAACCACGGCCAATCTCCCCAAAATGATGAGAAAATTATCACTATCAACCCTTCAAGAAAAATTAGAAAAAAGTGAAGGGGAACAGATAAACAGATCTATAGCAGTAAAGGGTTGACTAGGTACATGAAAATAGGTAAAAAAAACAGTATTGAAGATAAGCAAGTTATAATCTGAGAGAATACAATCCACAGAATGATCCCTCCCACCAATATCAGCACTACCACAATTGGGATTGTGCCCATTAAAGTCTACCGAAATGATAAAAGGAAAAAGCAACTGTTATATGAGAGCATCAAGGTCTGATTGGTTGTAAGTCTCTCCAGGAGACAGGTAGAGAGAACAAACAGTGATGGTACGACCCACAGAGAAACAGATAGCTACAGCCTCCAAGGGTGTATTGAATGGCACAGACAAGGTGGGCACATGCTGGTCAACCAGCAGTGCCATCCCTCCATGATCTTGTCCATCACACAACCTGTCATTCCAATATAAAAAAAAAACCTAGCCAAAAGGTGTCAGCATCAGCAGGTCTCAGGAATGTTTCCTGTAAGAAGAGACAAACATAAGATTATAGGAATCAATCAAGGTCTTAATGTCATCCAAATCAGAACAAAAACCTCAACAGTTCCACTGTAACAAAGTCACAATTTTTACTTAGGAGTAGAACTGGGTGAAGAACCCCTTTGTTTACAACCACGAAGTTTTTCTTTAGAAGAAAGAGATCTATCAACCTTCATGGAACCTTCCCTGGGTCGACTGGACAGATCTCTGTCAGAGGAAAGAGACTCCAGAGATTGAGTGTATGACTGAAGAAAGGTTCAGTACCTTGGGGTCGAAGGAGATGGACCAAAGCAATCACTGGAAGCAATGATTGAGACAGACAGGAGTAGCATCCATAGAGGACAAAAGACTTGACATGTGAGAAAAAGACACTGACGGAGGCACTGAAAGATCTGTCTCCACTCCCACTGTAGCAGTGGAACAGAGTGCAGTTGCACGTGTCCAAGATGGAACAGGGGACAACAACTTCCGTGCCTCAGGGTAAGAAATATTGTTTACAGTGCATAAATGTTGTACCTCTTTTTCCTCCACCCACTTATGGCTAGATTGTAAGTAAGAGAGGAGAGAACCACCATAACTGATGCAGTAAGGGAAAAGTTGACACTCGTAGATGTCATGGTTTGTGCCACCACAATGAGCACATGTTAAAGAAACATGACAAAATGCCTTTGAATGTCCAAACCACTGACAATGGAAACATTTGAGAGGGTTAGGAATATAAGGCTGTATCTTACAGTTCAAATAACCTGCCTTGACAGTGGTAGGCAGATGTGGCAATGTAAACATCAATACAAGAACATTGGTAAGCAGCATAATTCCATCTTCGTGAGTGGAGATACATCGCACAACAGAAACTCTTTGGATGGAGAAACTAGCACGGATTCAGACTCAGGGATGTTCTGTAAATCCCTCTCAACAATCACTCCTTGAGAGGAATTCAAAGTAGCATGGAGAGTAACCTCAATAGATATATCCCCAATGGCCTTCGAATTCAGGAGTTCACTGTGTTTTGGTGCAGACCAAAAATGTCCTCAGAACATGGCTTCTTCACTGACTTCAGAGAGCCAACAAGCCCCTCTAATCCCGTTTAAATAAAACAGGGAGTTGTTTGCACAAGAGATTTGTCTGATAAAGAATGCATGATAAAAAATGAGGTACAGGAGCAGAATGGGGTGGAGACTGCTGTTCAAAGTCTTCCAAACACGGTCACTTTCCTATCAACATGTTCTGTGTGTATTTGGGAGGGGGGGGGTCACTGGGTGCAGGATCCATACAAAACCGAAATTTCAGTGTCCACTCACCCTACCCACTAAAGCAGAGTACTGTAGAGATGCCAGGGTTTTGTGGGCACTATACCCAAACACCAGTATCAGAAACAATGTCCATAACACCTCTTTATAACATCCAACTCTGGTACTTGGTTGACTCTAGCCCACCAGGACCAGTTGATTGACTCTGGGTGAGACCACCCAAAGCCGACCATCTACAGAAATTCAAGGCCAAAGGGGTGTGTTAAAGTGCTACTGACATAAACTGACCCAACAATGACACCCCTCAACCACCAGGATCCTCTCCTTCCTTTCACAGGTTGCCACACACAGCAAACACATGGGTGGATGTTTAGATCCCAGAGGAGGTAAACTGAAAATACAGAACATTCCTTGGGAGATCCCCTCACCACATACAGTAATCCACCTTGTGGGGTGGTATGGAATTAAAAACAACACACCAGTGGGAGACCACACCACATCTGAGTCAGGTATACTCTTTGCCCTTCAGGAATGTGTCACCAAAACATAAAGGGCACAAACATGGAGGGCCCAAGAAATTTTCAACAGGAAAGGACCCCCAGATGAGGAGTGGCTATGGTGCAACAGACTGTGTAAATGGGACTTTGACCTCAACCAACATCTGGTGGCATCTAGAATTGTGCATCAGGTCCATGGTAAGAAGAGGGTCCTCTACTGTTCACCTCAAAAACAGGTTAACATACCAAGAACCCATCTCCAACACAACCAATACCTGATCCACAAGAAGGTAGAAAGTAAGGAGGGCTCAGGAGGTGTTCATCTCCAGTCCAAACCTAGCAACATTAGGAATTTATCATCCAGTTTGCTGTAGGAACAGGGAACCCAGCCTTACACACACACTGAAATTTGTGTGTCTTGTCCAGCTTCCAATCAAGAGCAGATCCACCGGGAACCAAAATCTAGTGGACGATAGGAAGAGGGACTGCAATTTGGGGTTGCATCTCCAGTTCAAAACCAGGCAGCATTGGAAATTTATCTTCCAGTCCACGGTAGGAGGAGGGTACCAGCCAAACACATGTGGGAATTTATGTGACTGGACTGTCTCCAAACAACACCTGATCCACCAGGAACAAACATCTAAAGGATGGTAGGAAGGAGAAATGCCTCAACTGGAGGGACAAACTGCAATATATATAAGGACATGGCAGAGTGCTACAACCAACACCTGGCACCATGTGGAATTATACATCAGGTCTACAGTATGAAGGGCATCATGCCATAAACACTCACAGACTGCCACTGCCCTACTATCAAACTGAGTGGTATTATGTACTCTCAGGATAACAGGAATCCATAGCTTACCATCCCAGCAGCTACGAACTGGTAAGTGGCAAGGCCTCCCATATTACACTAAAATAAAGAGGGAAAAGGACCACAGCACCAGAGACAGTGCAATATGTGACTGCAATATCCTATTCTGAAAAGCAGAGCTACCATGTTGAGGAAGCCAATCAACCAACACCTGGTGGGATCTGGAATTGTACATGAGGTCCATGGTATGAAAAACCTCAATGCCACAGAGCATCAGAGATGGGCAGTAATCCCTCTCTGTTTTATCCATGCAAGTCCATGAATGTACAGTCTAGAATGAACATATTTATGAAGCAAAATACCACAAGATACAACTACAATCAGTCCCATAGAACACCCCATCTCTAAGGTGTGCATAACATAAACCTGTGACATGTGATGAATTGTTGATATCAATGCATAGATGACAATCGAATGAAGTCGATCAACCAATATCTGGTGGCACTGGAATTGTACATCATGTCTGCAGTAGGAAGAGCCTCAACTATATAATCATCTAGCATGGTCACAGGACAGGCACTGCAGATTTGAGACTAAGTATACCTGGTCAGAAAGAGGCCCCTACACAGGAAAAGAAACTGAGTAATTACCAGTCACAAAGAAACATTGATTTGCAGAATGACAACTGGAGACAAGCGGAATCCCACAGAGCATGAAACAGCCATGTGATTTAAACAGTGAAATGTAAAGGTATGCAGGACAGTCCACATAACCATGCCGATGATGTCCTCCAAAGGAAGACTGAAATGGGCAGCCAAGAACATGGTCAAGTGACATATCTGATGGTAAAATACACAAAAAGGGGGGCAATCATCTGGAAAAAAAGGAACAATATGCCAGGTGAAGCCAATCTGCAAGAAAAATGGGAGAAAAGTCACATTAAATTGTCTGATTTCAATGAATAAACTAATGGGCAGGGGAACCACAGAAGGGAGCAGTGCATATCATACTCCAGCTGTGAGCTCTGACTAGGCAAAGGAGGTGATCAGAAACTGAAGGGTCATAAAGGTAGGAGATGGAGGGAAGGAAAAGAAAACAAGAGAAACAAGGACATCAATGAAAGGTGATATAACGAGTAAGATGACAAAGGTTCAAATAAAAGGATGAATAAGAGCATGAAGGAAAACAATGAGGTTCCTATCTGGGAAAGAAGCAGGATGAGGAAGATGAACAATGGAGAATGAATGAAAGACCATAGACAGGACATGACAGTGGAACACAGAAGCAAATTCGGTAAACCAAAAGGTGGAAGACCCTATAACCTGCAACTGAAGAAACTGATAGGCCTCTGTCATAAAGCCAAGTGACAAAGGGCAACAAGTGAGGAATGGTAGGTCAAGAAAGATGGTAACCCTGGCTTATAGACCAAGAGCATGAAGTAACCCACTTAAGCTGATAAACCACAAATGATGATGGTCTAACTGGAAGGTAAATCAAGGAGCCAATAGGCATAGAAAATCTATACAGTTTGGCGAGTAACCTAATAAAATCCATATCTGAAAATGAAGTGTAGGTGGGAAGGATGACACATGCCAGAGTGAGGCTAACTTTCATTTCTACGATGTCAGCTGCCATAATGGAAAAGGAAATCATGTCTGAGCTGGCTAATATGGTACCACCAACAGAACTCAATAAGGAGTAATCAGAACTATCAAAAGAGCATGTAGAAGCTGAATAGGAGGATAAACATAGAGGTAACAATCAGTCCATTCTGGCCGAGAGTTTAAAACCACATCTGCCTGTGGATGAGGAACAGGCAACCAAAAATGGAGATGTTATGTGTTGAGTAAACATGCAAATGAGTCCAAATCGAGGACACTCCAATGAGCACACAACTCCCGAAAAATGATAGGATCCAAAAACCACTCCATCAGTAGAATCTTGTCAGGTCGGGCTGCCTAACTGCTAGGTCATGCCAGGCCAAAATATTGTTAGTTTGTTTTCAGAACAAAGTAACACTGAGCTATTTCAGCATTGGAAGTCTGTTAACTTACCACTATCCCACTGGGGGACAGTTTGTTTGTTTTAAAACAAAGCCACATTAGGTTATCTGCTGTGTCCACCAAGGGGAATCAAACCACAGATTTGAGCACTGTCACTCAGTAAGCTTACCGCCGTCCCACCAGGGGTCTTAAGTTGTTGTTGTTCGATATTAAGCACAAAGCTACACACGGGGCTATCTGTGCTCTGCCCACCATGGGTATCGAAACCTGGTTTCTAGCATGGTAAGTCTGCAGACATATCACTATGCCACTGGGGGGCAGGGACATAAGTATGATGCTTTGTTTGTTCTAGCATAGAGCTGCACAATAGACTAATTTGCACTCTGTTTATCACAGAGAATCAAATTGCAGGTTTTAATGTTATAAACCCATAAGCTTACTGCTGACCCACTGAAGGACTAGAAGACACATCAGGCTATCTATTATGTCTACTGCAAAGAAACAAACCCCGGATTTTAGCACTGTAAGTCCGTAAACTTACTGTCCCACCAGGGGACTATAATGAAGGAAGATCAGCCGAGGTATTTGAATATGGGGGTCTATCATATTTAATATACACACAACACAAAGGTACGCTTATCTGATGAATAATAATATGAAGTCCTTGTTTGCAATGTTGGTTATAGTTTTGTTTGTGCAAAAAATCTGTCTTGATATGCAACATCAAAACATACTCTTTTTGGCTAACTTATACTGAATGTCATGACACTTCTGTTTCAAGGTAGTATTGCTCATGTTTCACTGGGTCCTAAGTGGTTAGATCCTGTGCATACATAAAACCCATTGTATGTTTCCTTGCCCAAAAGGTCATTGTAAAACCCTAAGAAATCCTAATAGCCTTAATGTTGCCAATGTGTTTCTTTTGAACAGTTCTAATGATAAGAGTACCAAGGATGAATTAGATGAGAGATGGAAGTTACTATGTTTAAAATAATTAAGATATAACTAAATGTGAAAAGTTAACTTTATTACTTTTTTTTTTTTATGAGGTGATTGGCTACTATTTTCTGATAAATAAATGTACTACCAATTATCAATAATGCTTTTTTTGTCAATTAGTTATAGCTTTGTGAGGAAATTCTAGCATTTCAAGAGTAAGCCAAATTCTCTTCCAATTGATATTGTGATAGCTCACTGAATATACAATTATATAACCAAGGTTCTTGAGAATCTTTAAAAGAATAAGTTTGCATCCAGTATAAGACTTTCTTTTTTGTTCAAAAAAAAGAAATCCAATTATACAGTTTTAGAAATTACTATTACTTTTTCAATACTTGTAATAAATACAACTTTTCAACACTTACATTCAAAATTTATACAGCTACACTGGTTATTATTTTGCAATCTGTCTTAAACATACATCTGATAAAATCTCTACATTACCTGATAGCATGAGCTGGTTGAACTTCATGTGGATTACGTCTGTCTGACCAGAAGAACAAAATTCTGTCAAAAATAGGCTCTATGTCTACCACTTGGTTGGCATGTCCAGCAGGAAACATACGCAACAAACCACCATTTTCCTGGAACATAACCAGTCATTTCGAAAAATCACAAATTAGTAAAATTAGTATAGGTAAAAAATCTTCAAGTTTACTACTTGTCTATAGGGCATATATAAAGATAATAAATTCCAAGCCATGACATCTGCATTTTAGGGCTTCTTATTTCTAACTTAATATGTATCAAAATATTAAATTAATTTTAAACACTTACTTCTATATTAAATTATAGTAATATCTGTATAATATACAACAGTGGTTTCCAACCTTTTTCACTCTATGGACCAGCAAAACCTGTGTAAAAATCTTATGGATAATTAGTAATACAGAGGCTTATACTGTTGTTTCCTCATTTAGTTTCTTCAAGATGCTTTGAAGTGAAAGTTATGAGATTCACTTATTTTAAAATGAACTAAGAAAAAAACAACCTTTAACCCATTCCTAACATATATAAAAATTCCAAGGAAATCTAATCTTTCATTTATTTATCTTTATTTATTTTCTCTCCTTTTTTTTTTAAACCAGCAAAAGCATGTTTGAAAACCATGATTGGGAATCACTGCTATGTGATTCAATTATTTTACTTCTGTTGCTTTCCATATATACAAAAATAGTCCATACTATAAACATTGCAGCTACTTATCTGTGTTTACAGACACAATTCAGTAATAGCAAGTGGAACAACAATACCATTGTAAATATACAAATATATTAAGCAAACTACTTAAGTGATTCTTTTTCATATTAAAAAAATCATAATGTTGTTCCAATCTAACTTTTATGTACACAGTTTTCAAGATATTATTTGGAGGAGGGTGGAGTCCTGTGATACCCTTGACACAAACTGATATCAATTTCCAGTAATTTCAAGATAATATGTTTCAGCAATTTTAACATTATTCTGGAAACATAAAACACATTTTCTCCTAAATGGCAAAAGAAATTCATTCACTTGTCAAATCTTTTTCATTTGTCACATTTTTTAAGTAAACTATTCACCAATTATTTTAATTTTTCTATGTATTTATTTATCATCTGGTACTCTAATGAGAGAAAAAATCTTGTTTTTGCTTTACAAACTTAATTTTATAGTTGAATTTTTGTTAAGTGTTTTATCTTGTACACATGTGCATGATAAATGAAAATACTGGTTTGTTAGTAACCAGCTCTGGTTGATTGAAGAGTAAAAGAAGTTGAAGTTAAAAAGAAGCAAATCTATTTGACATGAGACATAATTGATTGTCAGAGGTATAGAGAAAATGACAAATGTGGAAAAAATATTTTGAAAGGATGTTCCACAACAAAAATTGTTATTTCACTGAATTCCTAAACAAAGAATTTGACAGTCAAGTAAAATTAATGCATATAGATGAATGTTGACAGTGGTTGTAATGTCTGAAACTTGTTTTAGGAACCTAATGCAAAAATAAAACAAACAGAGATGCTTTCCAAAATGCTATTCCACTTAATGAATGCAATTGGTGGTTAAGAGCATTTCTCAAGAGACAGATTTGGTATTTTGAAAGTAATTTTGTACACTTTAAAAGTTCACCTTCCCACATTAGGTGTATAACAAGCATGTGTATGGCAATCTCAAAACATACTCAAAGGCTCACCTGTACTCTTGATGTTCTAATATCTTACTTTACTTGGATATAATGTGAATTACTCTAGCCTGGTAACTGAAAGGGTAATTTAGGCTTCTAAGGTCACAAAGCAGTCTTCTATAGAGAGACAAGTAGGATACAACTATTCATGACCCAACACTATTACAAAAGGTAACACCTTTGGCTGAATACAGCATATTACATTGGCTGGCTTTAGTTATGTTCCAACTTTGAATTTGGAAAAAGTTAAAAATTGTGTATATATATATGAAATATATATTCTGGAAGAGTGAGATATGTAGTATATGCATATTATAACTTCATTCTCCTTTATCTCATGCTGGCTTCAAGCTAACTAATTTAAACACCAATTTAAATTTACAATGTGATCTACAGTGGTCATTAATGCAAAAATGTGCATCCTGGATATAAAATGAATCAACTGGATGGACAAAAAAAAAAGTCCTTCTGCATTCATGAGACACATAAAAATGGGATGCAATAATAAAGTTAGATACCCTTTGCAGACCAGATGGGTGTCTGTAGAAGACAGTGAAAATCTGAACATTCTCATGAAGAAAGGGCCTGATATCAAATATTTCAACTATAAACATGCAATTGAAATCTTCACCTCTGCAGACAGCTGCAAGTTTTGACTATAAAAATGCATTTCAACTTTGTTTGAGACACATAGTGTTAGTGCTTTGGAAAGTGCATAAAGCTATTGAGGATATTTTCCACTGTGTTAGTGCTAACTGTTTAACTTTTGCTTTTTTAATTATTTTAGATTGATTGTCATTTAAATATGGCTGAAAATAACAACTCAAGATGGTACAGTTACTTATTTTTTAAACAAGTTTCAAGAATTTTGTTTTACATCAATTGCAAAAGAGGTTCTACAACTGATACCTTGTACTCAGTATTTACTTTTTATTCAAATCTGAATTAAAATTTAAAAATAAATCTAAGTATTAAGAAATGAAAAGCATTTAATGAAAAACAGTTCTACACCTTATATGAATTAAACTTGATATAATTTTACATTAAATAGAAATATTTTAAAAATTTGATAAAAACCATCATATTTTTTATGAAAATAATAGTTCTACAAGTTACAAAATCAAATTCTTTACAAGTTAATTTTTAATTTTGGTTAGGTATCTTTCTTTGGAAAGCCATGTAAGTTATTACTGCCTTTAAATAAGATCTAATTCAGATTGATATCTGTTTAAACACTGGTGAATACACATGACCAATATACAAGTGCTATACGCATGTATGCAAACAGTTCAAAACATGAAGTTTGCATTTCTTTAAATGAGTGACACCCTTTGGGTCAAATTGCAATGAAATTAGCATATATTACATGTATGTATTAACTTCTTATTGTCTAAAAACATGAAAATAAATGAATCATTAGCATAACTTATTGTAGGACATGACCAATATATAGTTTTGTGCTACCTCATTTTAACAGCTATTAGATTCATACTGAAAGGCCTTGAAGTTATGCATAATGTTTACTTGATGAAAAGTGATTGTCTTGGCAAAATAACAAGATTCTATTCATTTTGAACAAATAAACATTAATTAAGTATTTGAGTGTAACTACCAAAAGACCAGAGCAAATTTTTTGGTACATGCATTTTGAAATGGCCACATAAACAGAGAGTTAGCTCAACCACTTCATCCAGCAACATTACATGAAAGATGCAACCCTTGGTTAAACAAGAAACAAATACCACAAAATAGGGAAAAAACATGTAACATAGCAATTAGTAAATGAACCACACATACACGAGATTTGTAAGTACAATACATTTTCTCACTATCACACACAACTATCTAAACATGTAGCAAATAAAACCTTGTAAAATCAAAAGCATAAAATAAAATACATTAAAAGTTAAAATTATCAAACAAATACTGAACTCAAATCAAAATCTGAAGTTAAAACACTTGATTAGGAAAATAATAATAGAAATATATATAACATGAAACTAAAGTTAAAAAAATCAAAATCATTAATACAACTAAAAAATATTTCTACATGAAATATGGAATACATTTTAAAGTAGTCATGCAATAACAACAAAATAAAAATAAGTTTTACAATACAATAAAAAGCTCTTTATTCAATCTGTATGTATATAAGTATAAAGCTTATCATATCTCTGATGCTCAAGTGATGTTGCATAGACTCACTAGGGAGTCTCTCCACAAACTACCAGAATGTCTTCTTGATCAACTTTCATGTTGATCAAGTTGCTGGTTTTACATGACCTCTAATGCCCAACCATCCAAACTATACAGCAGATGATATGCCACTTATTCCTGGGTACAGGAATTCCATTCAGCTACATGGCAAAATAACTTGAATTGATCTAAGTCTTCTTTCACTGAGCACACGAAGGATGAAGGCATAATTTGTTTTCACCTTGCTACTACTTCTTGCTGTAACAAAAGCAACCTATCATCATTTATGTAATTCTGCATGAATGACTATGGAGCTATATTCAATATGGGCATCAGTTCCTCAAATATTAAACCCTCATTCGTGCCACCTGAGCAACATATTGTCATATTAGTGGCATCACCAACCAAGGCCCCTTGATCATTATGTTTTGATTTACACATACTAGTCATTTCTAAAGGGGCTTCAGAAGTGCTGGATGCCAACCTACGTGGCTCACTATACATATTAACTGCCTCAGATCTCACCATAAAAATGGCTGGAAGCCCCTTTTTTGGTGGCTTTCCCCCACTGTCCTCAAGCTTAACTGATCTGCTCAAGAAACAATAACTGGTACTTTCAATAGCACTTGATGGACCAGACCAAGGTTCAATCATATTAGTGGATAAATGGAAAATCGGCTACCACTTCCACAATATTCAGAACATGGGAAATGGCACTGCTGAAGTAAGAAACTAGATTAAAGGATCTATTATGTGGAAGGACAGCCATAGTGGTGTGTAGTGGTACTATAAAAGAGTCAAGATATGATGCTGTGTTGAAATTAAAATAAAACTATTTTCTGAAGAAAATGACAATCATTTAGTGGTAGAGATATTGCTTTATAAAATTAGATTAATAAAAATAAATGAATAACAGTATCAAACTGTAAATACTTAATAAAAACTGTATTTCAATAAAAATGGTGAAGAAAAGGAAAACAGGAAGCTACAGATGAGACTTCCACTGAGAGTTTTAGCTCCTTTAAGACAGAAAGGAAGCTGCCTGAAAATTGTCAAAATTGTATTCTTGATTTACATTCTATCTGTGGCTAACCAATCAGAAAACTTGATCACAAGAATCTAGATATATCTCTATTCCCTGAAACAGCTGCAAAGCTGTCCTCTAAATGCATTGTAAAGTACATTTCAATAAAACTATCTCGAGAAACAACAGACCACTTCTGTGATTGGACCTACTACAGAAAGTAACACCTCAGACAGAACTTAGCACATGATGTTGACTGTTCCAAATTAATTAATAACCCTTTAAAAAAATAATACTCTGTTAATTGGAATCTAATCTGTCTTTTCCAAATCCTAAACTTGTGTCCTCTCATCTTATATATAAAACTTACCCCAGTTAAAGGTCAATGGACATGTGCAGAAATGCCACAGGAGGGAGACAATATCCATCTGAGGAAGATACACCCATGTTGTACAGATACTGAACAATGAAGGTATTGGGAGTAGTCCACATTCCAGCCTAAAGAATCTTCTCCAACAGACAGCAAAGGTTAGTGGCCAAAGACCTGGCGAGATGACAAATTTGATAAGAAGAAACACTATGGAGACAACAACCTTCCACGGATACGTCCGAAGACACCAGCCTAACAAGTTATCGAACCCAACCAGTGAGCGTGACAAGGGATAGGGCATGGGAAACAGAAGGGTTCCAGGGAACAAAATTTGTGAATGTGAACTCAGAAAGGAGGCGGTACATGCCATGTAACACCATAAAGAGCAAACTGGACAAGGAAGCTGATCAGGATCAGAAAGGGATTACAGGTGGGTGATGGAAGGTAAAGAAATGGATGTGAAAGCCAAACCACTATCACAGGTAGCATAGGTTGTAGGGAAGAGGGACCAATCGGGATAAAGGATGACATAAAAGGAATGGTAGAGGATGCAGGTAACATTAATGGCATAAATATATGATTGATGAATATCCGCAAGCAAGGAGGAGAAGGAAATTGGTCCTGAGGGAAAAACTGAGAAAGATGAGGAATTGAATGTTGGGAAAGATGAAAACCACATCAAGGAGACCAAAGGCAGAAGGTAGACTATCACATTTGGTAAATACATATGGATGAAGGCCTGATGGAATGGGAATAGAAAGATGCAACACATGGAGTCAGTCCCTGGGCTGAAACAATGGACCTGAAAAAACAACAACCATGCATGAAGATGGAGTGTGGTGATATCTGGATGAACAATGTCCAATCAAGGTTGTACACATAAAGGTCAGTGCAGTGGGAACCATGGTTACACCGGCCAATGTGAAGCCACCGGTAGGACTAGACATGGAGTAGTTTGGATTAGGGATAGATCTCTGGAAAAAAAGAGTTGAAAAGCAAAGATGTGATGACCCCTCCAATCTTGACTCAATGTGTCCACCCCCAGAGTTAGTGGGTGTGGAACAGGGGACAAAAAGAAAGGAAGCCTGGTGTACCAGTGGCTGGCAAAGGCATATATGAGGTATCACCAGCTGCAAAAACATCCACCGAAAGACCACTCCATAGGGAGAATCTTGTTGGGATGAGATAATCAAGTATTAAGTGAGGGTAAGAATGGACTTTCCCTTTCTTCAAGAATCCCATCTGTGCTGCATCTTGTAGGGGCAGAAGAATATGGTCTCTGGACTGTGAATGTAAGAAGCAAGCAGTAGCCAGTCATCCATGTAAAGGTGAGTGTGAAGACCCAGTGAATGAAGATTTTGGGCAAGAGCTTGTACCAGCTTGTAAGAGCTGAGGTTAGTCCAAATGGTAGGGCCCTGAACTGGAATACTCAACTTTGAGTAATAAACAAGTATTGATGATGTGGGCATTGTAGGGACAAACCCCTAATTATAGATTATGAGGAGAAAATTTGGTTTCTAGTATCAAAAACGTAGGAAAAGGAGCTGAAGCAAAACTCAGCCCTATGAACAGAAAATAATCAAACATTAGCGATGTAGCAAGGTAAAAAAATAAATTTAAGCCCTACAGTGATGAGAAGTAGGATTATAAGGCACATAGTTAATAATGACAAGAAAAAAGTTATCCCGATAGAACAAATACAGAACTGACAAACCATCTAAATTTACCTTGTCCACAAAGTATTTAATAATGATGAACATCCAAGCTGATGAAAATTACTGAGAAAACATAGTAAAATCAATATCTAACTTACCATTCATCTAAATTAACTCAGACAACAGAGGACACATAAGTAGGGCCAACACTGATGATAATTAGTATTATAATGCATGTATTTAACAATGGTTAGAAAAAGAAATTAGTCAGATAAAACAATGAATTAGATACGAATAGTAGTAATGATATGTAACTTACAAACTATCTAGATATTCCTATTTAACAAAGTACTTATTAATATCAAACTGACAAATCCTCAAAATTTACCAAGTCTACAAGGTACATAATGTTAACGAATGTGCAAAACAACTATAATTAGCTTGAAAAATAAAAAATAAACAATATCTAATTTAAAATTTATCTAAAGAAGCTTAGACATCAAAAGACACATAAATATCTAACTTACCATATTCCGAGCAATGATGACATGAAATACTTAAATCTCCCGTGTGAAAAGAAGGACACCTGAACTGTGCCTACCATGGGTATGTCCACTATGAGTAGAGTGTACAAGTCGAAAACTTACCACAGAATCACTGGGAGAAATGGAAGCAATATGAAGAAAGGAGGAGAAAAACAAACCTTCACCAAAGTGAACTATGTGGCCCCATGGTAACTGGAGCAGGAAAAATAAAACTAGTGAAATCACCCATGTCTTGAACATACAGCAAAACCAGAATAGGCAGTGACCAATGACCTGATTAACTAGCTGTAAGCAGGGGCGGATTGGGATGCCGGGACACCAGGCAAAATCCCAATGGGCCGGTGATGCCTGGGCCAGTGGGGCGATAATCTCATTATACTGTCCCAGTGCTACTATTTATATATCATCCTGATTTTTTAGTATTGCCCGGGCCCTTTTACGCTCCTAATCCACCCCTGACTGTTAGAAAAAGTCGAAGGGGAAAACTCCTCAAGAGATGTAGATTGTATCAGACCAAAATAAGAAGGTTCCAGAAAAAGAGAATCCAAAAGGTATTTTCTTTGTTTGTATTCTTTATCAGAAACACTGTCAAGTTGAATAGATGAAGAAATTGCTGGCCAAACATATAAATCTTGCTCTCTGTGAATTAAGGCCTGGACCTCCTCTGCAGATAAAGTCAAACCCAATTCCTGGCAAGTCGTACCCATAGCGTTTTCAATTGTAACATACATTTCTGTACTCAATGCATTGAATCGTGAATTCGTACTGAAATCTCATAATTTGGAAACAAGAAACAAACACACACAAAAATTGTTGATACAATTGAATGCACACAATAAAACAAAACTGCTGGAAATAAAGATTTGAAATGGCAAAGAAGCACAATCATAATAAAACTTAATAAAAAAAAATTGATATTTTGCATATGAAAGCATTGCAATGTTTACTGATAAATTGCCAAATTTCGTTAACATTCACTTACTAATTTAAAAGTTGTAGCATGAAAACTATAACAAGCACAAAATGGCTACAAGGTCAGTCCCATGGACTGAGCCAGGGTTGAAAGAGTTCACCTTAGCTCTACAGGAAACAGCTAAAGGGCTCTGTTATGATTTAATGATGACGAGAAACCCACTTGAAGTAAAAATGTATAGCACAGACAGCAGGTATGGGTATTAACATAAAGTACAAGAACAATGTTTCAACCTTCTTTTTTTTGTTAACCTGAAGATGACCTAAGAAGGTTGAAACATTGTTCTTTTACTTCATTTTAATTCAAGTTTCAATACCCATGTCAGCCATCTCTGCTATACATTTCTGTTATGATTTATTTTCACATGGCAATTACTCTTTCATTGGGTACAACTAAAAAGGACAGCAATAAAACCATAAAATTAAAAGTAAAAATGTTAGCAGTTGAAACCATAGCTTGGAACTTTATTTATGATCAGTACTGCAGTCAGTGCAGAGAAAAAATATAATTATTTGTTGTATTACATATTTTTTACCTTTTCATTTGATTGTACATTAATGATTTTGCTACAGTTAGGGTTAGAGTAGAGAAATAGGATATAAAATATAAAGTTCTATTGAAAAAACTTTTAATATTCATTTAAGAGTTTCTGGAGGTTATGCAAATGAAATATGAAAGCTATAAGGAAAAAAAGAAGTATATTTATTCTTAGCATGAAAATCAAATTTCACTGAAACTGACTCAGTAAATGCTTCAGAAACTCACAGACAAATCTCTGTTAACAATACTATTAAAATATCCAATTTTTTGTGAACAAAAGACTCAATGTTTAGTAAAAGCTGCCAAATTTAATGAAGATACACACAGTAAATTCAGTTATAGTACATGTAGCTTCAGAAAAACAGGCTTGGTTCAATGGACCAACACTGTTTTTAAAGTGTTAATGTAATTGATTAAAGACTCCCATTTTTCTCTCATAATATTCCTAACCTATATTACAGTCCAAACCAAGTAACTGTATTCATTTCAAATCATAACATTCTTGTTCTCACCTTAACATTCCATCCTTTATTGAGGTAGTATATGCTGGTGATGCAACGACCATCCTGATTTGGGTTGTCTACATGTTTAACATAATGTGTACCTTTTCCTGGATAGCAGGCAACCATTGCCTAAAATAATATAAAAATTGATTTATAAAATATACCTTTTTTTTTATTCAAGATATAACAACTAAAGAAGTGGTTAATGTTTATGAAACAACTATTTACTTAAGTATTAGTTAAGCAAATAATTAAGTTTATTTGTTAAAAAACACTACAAAATAATCAAAAAGATCCCAATACTCTGAGTCATCAACTACCAGAAAAAGTAAATCACAGAAAATGCAGTATCTTTACTCTAGAGAAATAAAAAGAAAGGCAGGTAATAATAATAATAATGACATGTTTAATACATAGATCGTAAAGGAAGTTATTTAGCTGGGATTCTTTCAATCTTATTCAATATGACAGAAATGTGCTTCAACAAACTCAGCACAAAGTTAAATAAAATAAAAAAGATACAGGTTATATGCACATAACATCCTAACAATTTCCACTGATTCACTAGTCTGCAAGCAAGATAAACATACTTAGGCTTGTAAACAAATAACAAAGTAGAATCCTTTTGTGTGCCTAAGTAACTGAATATACTCAAGTTTATACCATATAAGGATGATACTAGTAGAACCTTGTGTTTTGAAGACCACAAATTAGAAATGTTTTCTGTTCTACATGATGAAATTTTACAAAAGCTAGTAAACATAGTAAACTTAAAAAAAAAAAGACAGAAAATTACAAATGTATAATATCTTTAATCTCACATTCCACCTAAAAATTTTACACAATCTCACATTTAAGTGGCAAGAAGTTTTAGTTTAATTTTCTTCAAGCAAACAGAAACCAGAACCAAATCAAACTATTATAGGACCACTTTTTACAGTATTAACTGGATCCAATTAGAAAACAACATTAATAATCAATTATGTTAGTAACAAACTGTGGAACATGAGCATCCTCAAAGTTAGTGGTTAGAAACTTAGTCAACTGAATCAGTTTGTTTAAAAGAGTCATATTTGCCAAAATCCAATATTAAGCAAGAAGAAAGAGTCACTCTGGGGTTGATATGGTTCCTATACAAGTAGGAATTACTCCTAATCAGTCAGTGAAAGAAATTACAACAAATCCTGTCCATCCTCAGGAGCACTGGGCTATTAGTGGTTTTTGCTAATCAATTACATTCAATTAATAGATTATTTCCACACACCCCATGCCATATAAGAAAAAAGAATTACAATTGCAATTAGAAATAATTATGCAGCTATTTATATTTATGTATGTTGTTTGAATGATAAAAACTAAAAATAATTATCAGTACAGGTCCAAGTCAAAAATATTTTGCTGTTGACTACCATACTCACTAAACAGTAAACCTAACTAAGCATATCTAAGCAAATACAGTTTAGAGACTAGTTGAATGGATAACAAATAAAACTGTATTACAAGTTTAATTTGGTAACAAATGTGTAATGTTTGGAAAATTGTTGTTTTTACTTTTTAACATTTTATACTGTGTTTTATTTGTAAATATGAGTTTTTGTTTCTATTATGTTCACCAACGAAATCAAATGACATTGAAGAAAATTTCTGTAGTTTTCAAACTGATATAATTTAACACAAGTATTTTCACAATTCTCAAATAAAAGGAACATTTAAAGAAATTATAATAAAAAAAATCCTATATATTTAATATAACATGATATTCTAATTTTTAATGTGTCCAATCATAAATCCAGAGTTGATTTTTAGCTGGTCAAAACCTGTTTTAACCAGGAAATGGTTAAAACCGTTTAAGAATTGATCAATACTGGAATATATTGGTAAAACCTAAAAAGTTAAGGGAAAAAATCTCAAAAGACCACAGAAGATACATTGGCAAGGTTAAGAGAGCTCTTCAAGAGACCTTTAGGTCATTGAAAGGGTTTTTCTTTTTATAAGGCATTTATGTTGTAAATAAGCAGCAGTGTGCATTACATTTTGTAAAAATGCCTGAATCATATATGTTGGGGACACTTATGTGTGATTGTGTGTAAACACACTTGCACTTGTCAACATTATTCTGCATATTATAATTGACTACCCACATGAAAAGAAGTAAACCAGAGAGAAACTATACTGTAAGGTACATTGCCACAATATTGGATCTTAAAAGTTTTTCTCAAATTTGACCCTTACAGTACTTGGAACTACTACACAGGTGTGTAGTATTCAAGAGTGGAACCAACCATGCAGTTTGAACAACAACATCTGGAAAGTTAGAGTGTTACTTCTAAACTGCTTTTTCACCCAAAATGGTCCCTAACAGCTATTTGGAGTAGTTTACATTGCATAATGGCATGAGTGATGGAATGACAGTCTTATCAATCACTATAATGAACCCCACCCTACTAACATTTTCAACATGTGGAGAACACCGCAGATTTAATGCATTTATTATGGAATTCATTAACTATCAAAAGCCACACATCCCTGCACAATATATGTACTTACGCCAGACAACCTTGGTTACTCTCAGACTGCCCACCACATAAATCTTTTCTTCAGTGAACAATTCAGGGCTGTTCACTAGCTGTATGTGTGGCCTTCTCCTTGTTAGACAAGAGCATGGACTGGGGCCCAAGAGTATCAGTAGTACTCATTTCGACCAATTACAATATCTTCCCTACTGCATACCCAAGTCAATGAAACAGAAATTACAGAACCTGAAAGTTTCCAGTTCAAGCAACATTAATTAAAGTAATAATATGAAATTTGTATTATAAAAGATAGAATAATATCATCATTATAGTAACAGGTCAATGTAACAATGTCATGTTTTTTAGACAGAAATCACAACTAATCTCAACAGGCTAAGATGGGAATAATTGTTTTAACTTGTAGCTACTGTATTGTATGAAGACAAGAAACTTCGAATGCTCAATGCAACGCTTTGGGTCCCACCACACAGAAGTGGATGGGCTGCAATGAAAAACAGAACCACTGCACACTCCATCACACGGAGTTGTGATCACGAGGCAAAGTGAGTGAGGAAGAGGAAACAAAAGCAACACATGCGAGGACTTATGTTGACTGATCCTGCTCTAAATCCAAAATCAGTCACTGGGAAATGACATCCATGTGATGGTAAGATGAGGGATCTCAATCAAAGGAGTGAACTGCAATGTGTCAGATCAACTCCAAACCAACATCATCCTCTTTATAGGACTGCACAAAGGTTAGAGCACCATAGCAATCTACAGGTTCCACTGCATGGAATCAAATTGCATCTAGAAATTATAAACAACCTCACCCTCTAGATAGAACTGCATTGAAGCCATGCACAACATCTACCTCTAGGACCCACTGCATGGAGGTGGAGCGCATTTATTAGTAGACATGTGCAACATCATCCACTTGGATAGGACTGTACAGAATTGGAGTGTATCCCAAACTTCCAGGTCCCACTACATGGAAGAGGATTGCCTGAACCAATTGTATGCAACCACACCCTCTGGATAGAACCACACAGAAGTTGAGTGCAACATCAACCCTCGGAACTCAATGTACAGAGATGGAGCACATGATTGGAGGACCACATGCCGTCTTCACCAGCAGAATACCACCACCTTAATCTCTACTGAATGGATTTTTTAGTTAATTATTGTGTGATCCCATTCAGGAGAATAACTACATGGTCCACCACCCCAGCACTCGGAACTAGAAAGTGGAAAGGGCTCCCATTTTTCACTAAAAGAACAAGGGGGAATAAAACGTGGTGGAGAGTCCTGAGGAACACCAATACTGGAGACAGTGCAATAAATGAGCATGAAACCCTATTTTGAAAAGCAGACCACCCTCGATTTATCCAATCCAAGGGATGGGCAGCTAGCCTCTTTTGCTGTACCCATGCATGTCCATGTGTTAGTATGGTCCAGAATGAGCATACTGATAAAGCAAATATGTTGTGAGGGAAAAACCTACTAGCGATCTTGTGAAACACCCCATCTCAATAGTGTGTGTGTTACTGGCTATGAGTAAATTGTATTTTATGATTTCACTGTGGCTGTACAGTGTGGATTTGAGATATATTAAGTATACCTGGACAGGTAATGCTTGCCACAAATCAGGATCCATAATGAAAAAAAGGACATGCCACTGAAAGAAATTAAAATGTATATAAATAACTTTTTTACTCAGTCACAGCCTCACTGAAGTTTGAAGAATGGCAACAGGTGGAAGATGAGGAATAAACAGCTGCCCAATGAAGATAGTGGGAGATGAACATATGGGGTGTAGTCCACATGCCCGACCGAAGAATATCCTCCAGTGGACAATGGAGATGAAACAAAAGGGAAAAGGTAATGTGTCTGATCTGATGTGACAACACCAGGAACAGCATTTGGGAAGAAGTAGACAAGTCACAAACAGAGGAATGTTGCCAGGGGATGAAAAGTTGGAAACAGAAACTAAAGAAGGAAGCTGTGCGAGCAATGTGACAATGAAAAGCTTGTACAGGACATAGATGTCTATCCGGACCTGACCTGGAATAAAGGTGGGAGATGGAAGAAAGCAAACTTGGCAAGAACGAAGATTTTTCCTCTCAAGCCACCAAAGTTTTGGGGAAGAAAGATCTATTCAGATAAAAGAGAACATAGTGGGAATGGTACAGAGTGCATGAAACCTCGATGGCAAATATATCAGACGAACGAAACCTGCAGACTAACAGGAGTAAGAATAAGTCATAAGGGACAAGTGAAACAAAGAACAGGAGAACAGAGGATCAAATGGAGGTAGAGTAAAGCAGTGAAGAACCACATTGATATCCCAGTCTGGAAGGTCCACCTGATGAGGAGGTCTACAAATTCAGAAGAAATGCAACAAAAGGGAGAGGGAAGGTAAACACTACACGGTACTGGGAAAAACGGAAGGTGTGGAATAAAGCTGCTTAATAACCAGCGATGGATGAGACCAAAGTCCTATAATCGAATAGCCAAGTGAGGAAATCTGTAATAAAAGGAACAGTGGGCGAAGAAGAGGAAAACCCCAACTCAAAGACCAATCATGAAAGATGTTCCATTTACAATGATAGACTG